AGTGTGGGAGATATCTCCTGGGGCGATACAGGGATCGGCCATCCGTGCAAAAAGGAACGGTCCTGTCCGCTAGGGTCTTAAGGACTTCACCGTTAACCTCCACTAGTGGTGGTGCTAGTGGGATGGTGGTGGGTGTAGGGAGTAGCTAGTGCACCGCTGGGTAAAGGGGCGCGCAGGCACAGAGGGAAATGAAAGAGCCGATAAGTTCGCCGAACAAGGTAAAGCAGCGCAACAGAAGCGTGGAACGGACGCAGTAGTACCGGAGATGACGCAAAATAACGAGACTTCGACGCGAGCCCCGCACAAGTGGACCGATGCTATGCGCGAAGCCGCAAAACAAACATTTCACAGAGCCAAAACAATCAGGGCAAGGCCGTGGATACCCGACGACACACTGGAAGCGCTAACAGCGGCGAGAAAAGCGGAAGCGGAGGGAGAGCCGCAGGCAAAAACCAAGAGAAATAAGGCCAAGCGACTCGCGAGAAAGGATAAAAAAGTGGGTACACGACCAGCTCATGAACGACCCCTCGGGCGAAGCGCACTCGATGTGGAAAACGGTACGTAGTGGTGGATGAAAAACCAATACCTTGGAGCAAAACGCACGAGGCATTTTAAAAAACATTTGGAAACTAAGCAGTGGGCGCCCAAACATCTACCCCAGAATCCCCTCTGAGACCACAACGCCAGGACGAAGATAGTTTCAGCTTCAGCTTGGAAGAGTTGGAAGGAGCCTTAGGTAAGCTCAAGAAAAATGAAGCCCCAGGGCCAGACAAAGTTTCTAACAAACTTCTTTTGTTGATGGACCCTCAGACCAAAACGCTGTTGCTAGGTTACTATAACCAAATATGGGAGCACGGTGAAGCTCCTGACTCATGGAAAGAAGCGGTTGTAGTCTCAATCTACAAGGGCAAAGGAGCTGATACTGACCCCTCAAATTATAGGCCTATCTCGCTCCTCAACGCCATTTACAAATTGTTCGCGGCTATGCTACAAATGAGATTGGCAGATCAACGTGATAGTCATCTTAGATGTACACAATATGGCTTCAGACCACAACGCGGCACTAGACATCCCCTCTTTATCCTTAGAAGAGCCATGGAGTGGTCAGACATGACTAACAACCCGCTTAAACTTCTTTTCTTAGACTGGAAACAAGCCTTCGATTCACTCGACCATATCGCCATGCTCATCGCTCTAGAAAGGCTTGGACAATCTCGTTCTATAAAGGTGCCACGCTCTACACAACCAACCCATTAGGTGAAGACGCGAGGGGGCAGGTTGGATCGGGTATTAGGCAGGGGTGTCTCCTCAGCCCTTACTTATCCATCATAGTTTTAACAGTCATACTAGAAGATGCGGACGTAGCGCTTTTGGCACAAGGAACCCCGACAAATACCTGGTCGGTAGCCAGACCCACACATGACATAGAGTACGCTGATGACACGCTGTTGATGGCACTGACCACAGCGCAGCTCCAAAGCATTCTGCACGCCCTGGAATTCGAAGCGGACTTATATGGTATGAAGCTCAACAGATCCAAAACAGAATTGTTAACGGATGCCAGATATACCACTCCCAAACTTTATTCCATTAACGGGCAAGAAGCACCGACCACAACGCAGGTAAAATATCTGGGGTCTCATATCTCCTGGAAGGACCCTTTCTCAGTAGCACTCAAACATAGGGCAGCTTTAGCGGAGGCAGCCTATAAGAAGCTAAGATTGGTTTGGAACAGCCAGCTAACTCGTCGCACCAAATTTAGGATCTTCCAGGCGACATTTGTTCCAGTGCTCACATACGGGTTGGATGCTCTCACTCTTACGGACAAAAACTTGGATAGAATAAATGCCTTCTTCTTAAGATTCCTAAGGAGAATAGTTGGGATCAAGGCCTCCTACTACTCCCGAGTCAGCAATCACGTAGTATGGAGAACGGCCAACTACTCTAAACAGCCATAAGAAAGGTTCCACAGGATGCAATACAAAATGTTGACAGAGGTATTTTTCGCAGACCTAGATAAGCCATTGCACAATGTAGTGTTCGCGTCAGCCTTCAAAGATCGAATTAGAGTAACGGGACGTAAGAGGGGTCGGAAGAAATCGTATTGGGTAGAGACCACAACGCATCGTTTCTTCAGAAATAACTGGACCAACCTAGCACGAGTTGAGGTAGGACCACACTGCCCATATTCCTCAATTTATAGAGACCTAGCCAGCTCAGAGCAGGCGCCAATGCGCGCACCGCATAGATTGCGCGCCCGGCGTTAGCAAAAAAATCTGATGTAATGATTGCAGTTATCCAACGGCCTTGCTCAACAATGCAGAATCGTGCCTGTAAGACACTGACCACTTCTCCTGCTGATGCATGTGCCCAACATAGGTACATATCCGCCATTAAAACATGTTAGCATCAAGCACATGGTCCATGCGACAAATACGACCAGCCATTTTTTTCACGAATCCATGCCCAACACAATCATGGTGATATTGATGTTTTGGCTGCATTCAGCTGGAGCATCCCATGCGCTCCTAACTCGAGTTCTCTGCAAATTTGTCTTCTTCATTGGACTACATGTCATTCGATCCGTGGAAAATTTTTCCTACCTTCTCCACCCTTGGCTTTGTCAGCAGTTCTTGTCGGACTTATCAGTTTGGGCGTCATCGGCCTAACTACCAAAATTTTTGTGTGATGTGTTGTTGTTCGCCATACGTTATCTACATGTGGCAGCTGAGGTTGCTGTACTGGATGGCACAATGCATTCTTCAAATCAACCAGTTCTGTGTGCGGGGGTTTTCTTGAAAACCGCACAAAATCACACAAGATCCGTTTGGTATGACATCAAACCATTTTGCTGTTTGCTGTGGATTAGTTATGGGCTTCCAATCGCTTTTAGGCGGGGGTTCGTCGACTTAGCGTATGGAGGATGTGGAGCATGGATTTGTTTCCTGCAGGCACGATCCACAGCAGAAACCAACCAACAAGTTGCTTGCGAACATGTCAGATTCCTGGTGCTTTGACGTCCTGCGTTTAAGGTTCATTTTTTTGTTTTGGCTTGGTGAGTTGAAACATCATAATGGTCTTGCTCGTCTTAAATTGCGGAAGACACGCTTTGACGTGGTACACCAGACGTAATTACCCATCATTTGCAGTTGTGCAAGGTATTCCACCCGATCTGAGTTTTGCTGGTGAAATTCATCATGTTTTGCCTGCGTTTCCGTTGATTCGGTGCGCACACGATCATGTTGAATGTTGAGGCGTGTGTCCGCGCCGTTTTGTTATCACAGGAGGTTGCATTGGCATTAGCGAACTTCACACGAATTTCTGGCGAGAGGGCGAACTGGAATTAGATGCTTGTCGGCATTGTGAACCAGGGGCAAGTAAAAGTTTTAAGACGTGCTGCCCCGCGCTTCACACTTCATTTCAGTGCGTTTATTGATGAGTCCAGCCGAGGTCATGACGCAGATGGGCATCAATGGTTTCGGACGCATTGGGCGCTTGGTCTTTCGAGCTGCCATGGAAAATCAAAGCGCATCATGTCGGCAATCAGTGTTTGATAGTCTGGCTTTCGAAAATCAATGTGGGCAAGATTAGACCATGTTTATGATCGTTTTGAGGTAACAATGGTTGCGGTCAACGACCCATTCATGGATCTTGACTACATGAAGTATTTGCTCAAGTATGACTCAGTGCACAAGCGGTTCAACGGATGTGTCTCCACAAAAAAGGCTCGGCAAAGCAGTGCATGTACATGCTGAGCCAAGATGCGAAGCCTTCGCATTGTGGACGTTCAAGTTCAAGTAGAAGCTACTGTAAGGCTTCGTGCTTATTCGTTGTGGCAGGAAAATGGCGAAGAGTACTTGGTTGTCAACGGACTTCCGGTACGAGTTTTCCACGAGAAAGATCCTGCTTCGATCCCCTGGGGTGCTGTTGGTGCGGATTACGTTTGTGAATCCACTGGCGTATTCTGTGACAAGGCATCATGGTTGGTTTCTTTGTTTTGCTGTCATACTGGTTGTTCTTGAGTTCTAGCCTCAGCCTTGCGCCAGGACAAAGCGTCCAAGCACCTCCAGGGGGGGTGCAAAAAGGTCATCATATCAGCCCCTCCAAAGGACATGACTGACTAATTTCAGCATGCGGATTTGTATTTTTGCGTGTGGAGTTATGCAGGACAGCACGCCAATGTTTGTGATGGGTGTGAACCACGACAAGTACACAAAGGCACGCAAATAGCAAGGGTTTGGCATTCAAGCAGCATTCAGCCAAAGTATAAGCGGGACGTCGGCCAGGATCTGCAAGTTGTTTCAAATGCTTCCTGCACTACGAACTGTTTGGCGCCCTTGGCGAAGGCCAGCATGCACTTCTTGTTGTCATAGGGCTGAAGTCACTCTGATGTTGAAGCTCAGCGTTTTCTGCAGGTCATCAACGACAACTTTGGTATTGCAGAGGTGGACGTTGCCAGCTTTTGCATGACGGGTTCGACATGTTTTTCTCGGTGAAAGAGTGGGCGATATGCATGAGCTGTTCCAGAGCAACAGCTATTTTCTAGCAGCGATTTGTATGCCTTGACTTTCAAGACTCTAGACACGACTGGCAGGGATTGATGACCACCGTTCATGCCATGACTGCAACCCAGCTGACAGTGGATGGACCCTCTCGTGGTGGAAAGGACCTATTAGACCCATTAGCTTGCTCATGTCCCTGAAGTGACGCCCAACTGCTGACTTCCATATCTGTGCCATATCTGATTGCAGGACTGGCGTGGCGGACGATGCGCCTCTGAGAACATCATTCCATCCTCTACGGGGGCAGCCAAGGACGGACAGACCTTTGGAGTCTGGAGAGTGTGCTACTTGCGTTCCCCGTTCTTTGGATCAAATGTTGAGGCGGTTGGTAAAGTTATTCCTGCGCTGAATGGTCGTGGACTCAGTAAGCCACCGATTTTGCACAGAGGTGCCGTAAAGCTTTGTATGAGGATTCAGGCGACATGTGCACATTGTGGCAACTTGCTAGGGGCAGGCTTGCAATGAGGCAAATTGACCGGCATGGCCTTTCGTGTGCCAACTCCTGACGTCTCTGTCGTGGACCTTACTTGCCGGCTGGATAAGCCTGAACCTCAGTGGTCTTTGCCCTTAGATGCATGAACTTGCAGTGACAGTTTCCAAGGCCAGCCAGCATGGATGAGATTACAGCTGCCATCAACAAAGCTGTTGAAGGCTCTTCTAGCTTTTGCAGTTGTCATGCGAGACTCCAAAAGCTACATGTTGTGCAGACTTAGCTGACATCTTGAGCTGGGGCAAAGGTCCCATGAAGGGCATTCTTGGCTTCACAGATCAAGAGGCGCATGATCCATTGTGCTTCGCTTGTGTGGCTAGAGTCATTGAGATATCGGTCTTGTATTTACTTGTGTGGCAAGGTTGCCAGCAATATTCTGGGATTGCCGTGTAGTGCGCAGAGTTGCATGTCAGGCTGTCTGATATGTTCATACTTCTTGTCTCAGTATGGCGTGAAGATTTTCAAGAAGTCTTGGGCGCATAAGCAGCAGATGGCAGAACTTTTTTCGCGGCTAGTAATACTGGGCTTGTAGGCCTGTTCGTCTTTAGGTCATCCATCTTTCGACAGCATCTAGTCAGCCTGGCTTTAAGCAGCAACAGCCCCAGTCTTTCTCACAGCGGGGCTTGTTCAGGTGCATACTGGGAAGTCAACTGTTTCAAGCATTGCAAATCTTAATTTGCCCAAAGCTCTGAAACACGTTTCACCCGATGTGAATAATTTTGTTCTGACATCCGGACGGCTCCGCATTCCTATCAGGATATCGCGTGAATTGGACATGATCCTGGCAGTTGGGAATGGGAAGTGTCGTGTCAGGCTACTTGTAGTAATCGCAACTTCTGGATGGCAATGTGATACCATAACTTGTCAGGTTGTCTCCACGGACTTCGTCACTTGCCCAATGTCCTCAATTTTTGCAGCGGCCTTACATGACATGCAGCCCCCTTCTATCCAGGACATGGTACCGCACATGTCAAGTCCACATTGCGACGAGCGCCTATCAGGACAAGAGTGCTTGCATCGCTCTCAATGACAAGTTCGTGAAGCTCGTGTCATGGTACGTCCGGGGCCAACCTAATGTTGTGAAGTCCGTAGGGTGTTTGATGTGTCTGGATGACTGAGGACAATGAGTGGGGCTATTCCAACCGCTTGGTTGATCTGGCATGTCACATGGCTCAGGCAGGGCCAACTGATCGGATCTTGCGTCTGAAAGTTGGCTCTGAGAGGTTGCAATACAATGCCTTAGTCAATGGGTAGTTGTTGTTCAGGGATGTTCGAGTCGGTCAGCAGGCATGCTTGGCTGAATTCCCCAGAACAGCAGTCTGCATGCAAGAGTCACGGTATCTCCCAAGTTGCTCATGCATGTCCACCCATGCATGAAAAGGAAGGATCAAGTCACCACTCTTGCTCAGATGCCAAAGGCACGGTAGAGCTGCCACGTCCAAGTGATTGGGAGGGAACTCTCGGGCAGCGTCTGCTGCGGTGCTGGGTGCAGAACGCCGCTCTTTGACCCAAAGCCCTCACTGCAACTTTTGCTTACGGCTAGACCAGCTCGGAATCTGAGGCAGGACAAAGGTCTTCTGGATGCCCTTAACGTCTTCCTGGTGGCTAGGCGATGATCCGTACACGATCTGATCTGTTGTATCGCCTGCAAAACTCCCGCTGGGAAGCTTTGAAAGCAACTTTCCGAAACCATGTTATAGCTGTGAACCATTTCTCCATGAAATGGTGGGCGTGCGGGTCTCTATGAAATGGTCTCGGTTGTTTCATAGAAAGCCATGCTTTGGACACCTGAGCGGCGGCTAAATTACAGCCTGTCAGCGTCAAGGGACTCCTTTCCTACATCCCACTTTTTGGGTTGCTGCAAGAATAGCAAGAAATGACTACAAGCCCGATGCCCCCAGCGCGCAGACACATGCTCGCGGGTCTGACGGGCATGATGCCCTGAGTTGCTGTGATTCACCGCGTGTTGCCCCGGTGCCCGCCTTGAAATGCATTCGCACGCCGGGATTACGGATCACGTCCGATCTCAGGAGGCCGTTTTGGGGTCCCAGTAACGTGGAGCAAAACCCAGCTGTTCAAATGGAGTGTTACCTGTTGGAAATCCAAAGCCCCAGAAATGTGAAACGGGTGTACGACTTCTGGGAAAAATCCGATTAGCCAAAAGTTGTGACCCCCCTTCTCATGGAACTTGCTCTGAAATGATACTGCGGCTAGACCCCAATACTACATGCCTGCGCTGCATTGCCCATCTTTTTCGCTACGACTTCTACAGCCGAATCTTGCTTCATAGGTGGATGGCATCATACCACCACCAGCCGTCATCCAGAGCATTAAGGCCTGAATGAATTCATGACCTGTAAAGCGGGCCTGCAGTTGATTTGCTTGGACATGGCGCAGGCACGAGAGATCTTTGACTCGCGAGGCAATCCCACCGTGGAGGCCATCCTGAGACACACAATGTACTCGAGACCTGCCGAATTACATATGCGTTCCCAGTTGTTCCAGGGCTGTACATTTTCCTATGTGGCAAAAATTGGGTTTCACCCGCATTGCGTATGCCCAGCTGCACTGCGCTCTGCTGGCAAGCTTGCTCGTCAGGTTGACCTCATGACAAACGCCACTGCCCCAGCTGCAGCACGCTTTTGTGCAGGACATCTGCAAGGGATGGACAGCATTCAGGACCATCTGTTCCGAGCAGCTGTTCCAAGTGGAGCCTCCACCGGCATCTACGAGGTTTCTGGCCGTGTAGTGTAGTGCTTCAGGATGTGTCAGACACCGGCAAACGGGAGGCCTTAGAGCTCCGCGATGGCGACAAGCAGCGGCTGCTGGGGAAGGGCGTCCTCAAGGCCCGGAGCTTTTCTTATTTCTCTCTTAAGAGCTGTACCCTTGAAAGGCAGTGTCCAACGTCAACGAGAAAATTGCGCCCAAGCTTGTCGGTATGGACGTCACCAAGCAGAAAGAAATTGACCGTGTCATGGTCTGACCCCGAGATGCGGGCTCAATTGCGGCAGCAAGCTGATGTGAGAGGCAACAATTGGACATCCGTGTAAGCAACGGCAATGAGGTCGAGGTCCTTGACGGCACCCAGAATGACTGGGGATGGAGCAAGGCCATTATTGCGTTGGCCCTCTTCGGGAAACAGTCCTCCTGGTAGATGTGAAAGTCTTGCTGGGCAGTCCAACCTCGGTGCTAACGCCATCTTGGCGGTGTCCATGGCCGTTTGCCGTGCGGGTGCAGCCTCGATGGAAATGTGACCAAGCTTCAGTTTTATTTGTTTGTGCACAGCAACAGCTTTCTCGTTCCAGACACTGGCCCCAGGCCCCTTTACCAGTACCTGTCGTGCTTGTCGGGGAGACCTACCAGTAGCTATGTCGCATGCTCAGCTTGTGATTTCCATGCTGTATAGGTTCGTCAAGTGAATCAGGGTGCAAGAAACAGATGCTCTGTGTAGTAATGATGATCAGTCTTGACTTGGCCAGAATGTTGGCAAGGCAATGGCTTTTGAAACAGGAACTCAAGAATGATCCTCAGAGCTCTGGACAACAGCAAAACCGCTTTCGGAAAGTTTGCGTTTAAGTATGTGTTTCTGATTAGAGAAGACTGAGCAGCAACTCCTGCAAGCTGTCATCCAGGTCTTTATAGGTTCCATTTCCATTTGCTGACTCGCTGACCCAGTGTTGACACTGATCTAAGACTATTGTGGAAAAAACAGTGTGCAGTTTGCAGAGGAAATCTGCTGAGTGGTACTGGAAGCTGCGTCTAAAGTCCCATCCGACAAGCTAGTTTTTCCGAGGTCATGCCAGTTCCATCATTCAATGTCATCAATGGTGGAAGCCATGCCGGCAACCGACTTGCCTGCCAGGCAATGCGTGATGCATTCCCACGATGTGTGCCATGGTCAGCTTGCAGGAGTTCATGATTCTTCCTGTGGGAGCCAAGAGCTTCAGAGAGGCTCTCCAGATAGGCTGCGAGGCCAGCGTGACTGCAACGAACTGCTGTCAGTCCGTGTCACTGGCATGGATCACTCAGGTCTACCACTCATTGAAGGGTTGCATCAAGAAGAAGTATGGACAGGCGCGCTCCTGATCCCTGCAATCGCAGCATACGGTCGTATCCGCCAAGAATCGACAGGATGCCTGCAACGTTGGAGACGAGGTTGGTTTGCTGAGCTGGGATTTGGTGATCGTTGCAGTTTTCCTCTTGCCGAAGGGCGGCTTCGCCCCATCAGTTCAGGACAACAACGAGGTCAGAGCATGTCGGAGCTTTTCGGTTGTCTGAGGCAAATGCCATAATTGCACTGCTTGAGAAGAGGCACTGGATGTCCTCATGGACGCCATTGAGAAATCGGGTCATAAGGACAAGGCAAGGCAACGAGATTTCTCATCAAGTTGATTGTGGGTTCTGGGGTAAGTAGGTCAAAATTGGAACTGATGTGGCGGCATCCGAGTTCTACAAGGCTGCATGCTGCAAAATGTTGTGCATGCATCGCTCGATGGGTTAGCTTATTCATCTTGTATTGAAAATCTAGAAGGATCGAATGGGTGCGGGCAATCCTCATTAAGCATAGTCAAACTCAAGACCCATGCTTGATTGTTGAGCTTACGCTTGCAATTGACCTCGCAGTTGCTTCAGGCTACGACGGGAGGGTAGGGGAGACACACGGCCAAGGCAGTGATGCTGCTTTATGGAATGGGGAAGCTTTTCCTCGCGCTGATGCTGCAAGCCTTGCCTGCAGTGCAATCCTGGGAAACATGGTGCGCTTGGGTGCCAGTTCCACTTCAAAAGTCGGTTGATGGATGCAGGGATTACCTGGGCGATGCTCAAGTTGATGTTGCAGGAAAGGAAGGCTGTGCAGGCTGGTGTCGCTGGGTGCCGGTGTTGGCCTGGCATTACCCTGAGGGCTGCAGTGGCTGTGGCGGAGGGGTTGCCAGGATGTCCACTGGCCAGCTGCAAAGTGCTGAAGTGGCCAGACCGAGCAATTCCAAGAACTCTCTCCCAGAGTGGTGTCGTTGGGTGCCGACCGCGGCGCTTCAGTATGTTTCTAGCTGTGCCGGGTACACAGGCGAGATGCCAAAGTTCTCGGCCACTTGTGAATCTTACTGTGAATGGGTGTCAAGCCCGGCATGGCAGTTTCCCGAAGGGTGCCAAGACTGTGCCGGTGGCATGAGCGCCAGTGCTGCGGATGTTGTCAAAGCGCCCTTGGAATTCATACCCTGATGTACAGTGCATTGCTTTTGGCACGGCTCCTTCGTGACACTTTCTAACCTGGTTTTGTGTCCTGGTACATGCATTGAGATCAACAGCCTCCGTTCAACGGCAAGTGGCTGTGGAATTCGCAAATGCTTGAGCGGCATCGCTGCGGCTCAGATGGGTTCAGGAAAATGCTCAGTTGGCTTGCTGGCATGCTGATTGTGTTGCAGCTGTGAAAGAGTGAAGTTGTGAGGATGGCAAGTACGACTTGGATTTCAAGAACCCTGACAGCAAGTCGGTTGACTGGAAGACTGGAAGTAGCGCGACTGCAATAGTTCTCTGAAGATGCTGGGCGTGCGGGTTGATTTGCTTGAGTTAGTGTGCTGCATTTTTGGCAAAGGCGAGATGGCAACATATTACCAGGACATTTTGCTCACCTGGTGGACAGCCTCATAGCTGTCTATCGTCTTCCCAGGAGTGGTTTGCAAAGTATCCATTCGTCTCCATCGAGGAAATGCGCTTCCTTATGCTGTGCGATGGCTGCGTTTTTCTTCCAGATGCAAGTGCCAGGATCCGTTTGACCAGGATGACTGGCCTGCCTATGCGGAGTTCTGCACAAAATGTGGGAAGGCTCAACTGCGGATTTGCCGCTGTGCTGTGATAAGTTAGTAATTAACAGCAAGCTGACTGCCCATAGGATGTGCAGATTGTTGGTGACGACCTGCCTGAGCCACAGCAGTGTTTCATCCTTGTCAGCTTTGTGAATGAGCCTGCCAGACTGCCAGACGAGGTTGGTCACCAACACTAAGCGCATCGCAAAGGCTTTGGACGTTGGAGACCTTGCCTTAGCCCGCTTGGAGAGTGTTTCCTTTCATCTGACACTTGCATCATTATTGGCTGCAAGGCTTGCAATGCCTTGCTGCTAAAGGTGCTGCTCTGCCGAACTCTAACGAGCAGCATGAGAGCATCCTTGGCAGGTGAACCAGATTGGATCAATCTCTGAAGCCATCGATGCTGCTAACATGCACGGTCCTTGGAGTGCTGCAGGCGGACTTGGGCCCACAATTCGTCTTTCGCTTGTGAAGCCAAGGTCCATGTATAACGGCTGGGGTGTAATGGTCTCCCACCGTTCTGGCGAGACCGAGGCACCTTGCCCATTTGAACCAGTACCTACGTGAGAAGGCCTGTGGCGATTTTAGATTGTTTCCATACAGGACTCCTTCATTGCTGACCTGGTTGTGGGACTGCGCACAGGCTGGGGAATGTTTCAAGAAAACTCTGAAGAGTTGTCCTCATGGTCTGTCTTCGCAGGCCAAATCAAAACGGGCGCTCCGTGCCGAAGCGAGCGTTTGGCAAAATACAACCAGCACCCTGCCCAGCGGAATTCCACTATGCCTGCAGTCCAAAAACAAGTGTCTTGGCTCAGGCTGTTGCGGATTGAAGAGGAACTTGGCCCCAAGGCTGGACCAGATCATCCTTCATTGCTTGCCTTCGTGCCTACTCTACATGGGGCTCGCGCTGCTATGCCAGGCAGTGTACGCCGGAGAGAAATTCCGCAACCCTTCCGCCTAAGCCTTCGACCACAACATGCTTTCCCGAGTCTGATGCAGTGAGCAGAGCTTGCAAATGCTGCTCAATGAGTGCAAGTGCCGCTCATTCTCGATTTACATACGCTTTCCGTCTAATGACTGGTCCAGGAAGACTCCATGTGCTGCCTGTGCAACTATTTTCTTAGCATGGAGAGAAACAGTTTCGAAGGAGAGGCTTTGCTGGACCGGGGCGCAGCTTGTTTAGACGAGCCCGGCCAGCCAAGAGCAATCTGATGCTTGTTCTACGTAGCCCTGGCTGCAGAAGCTGCACTCTGCTCATGCTCACTTGCGTGTCAAATGTTGCTCCCTTGCCCTGCACATTTGTGAACAAAAAGTGCTGGCCTGTGATTTTCACTCCTGCATGCTCCAACTTGAGCGAACTTGTTCATGGAGAGCCTCCCTGCCTCGCAGCGTAATATGAATGTTCTTGACAGGTTGTATTTCCATTGTGGATCCTGTGTTGCGTTCTCCAATGTACATAGTTGTCGGATTTGGCGGTGGGGAGAAATGCAAGCGAAGTTTGCAACTGCCATGTCACTGTGCAAAAGAAGGCATGGAGCCAAAGCAATGAAGGCTGCTGCTAAACTGTGCAGCCATCTCCAATGCTGAGGGACACCATTAAAGCAGCACCTCGCGCAACGCAAGACCATCGCAGAAGACCACATTGTTGCTAGGGTTTTGGCCAGAGCATTCTGGATGGTCATACTTCATTGCAACTTGTGGCATGCAGGGTTGGTGACCCACACGTACATCTGCACAATTGCTTATGTCCAGAGTCAGCTCGTAGCTAAGCTGCGGAAGACTCTGGAAGCCGGCTGCAGGTTCATTTGATTTCTGCATGATGCTAGGTGTGGGCAGCAGCGTCGTGCCGCAACTCCGTGATGCTGATTTCGAGGTTCGGCTTTGAGAGGAAGCCTTCATAGGAGGTTGTGTGCATGGTAGTCATTGGTTAGCAAGACGTTGGAGGCTTTCTCTTCTGCTTTTGCAGAACGGCAGATTGTCCTAGTGCGTGGCTCTGAGAATGGCGTGTGGTTGTGGGAGTTTTTGGAAAGCCTTATCCATCGCATTTTCTTAATGTTCACATCATAATAAGTGCCACGGCGATGCGTTACTGCTCGCATCTTCAGACCATCATTTGCAGGAGTTCCTTTCCAAAGTTGCGGATGCTGGCAGGTTTGTACGGGATGGAGCTGCACTGGGATAAATTTCAACTCCTTGAGGTTCAATGTCGGGCATCAATTTTGACCCCAACGGGTGAGCGGATTGAAGCGAAACCTGGGATAGACTACCTCGGCTCAGTCCTCAGTCATGATGGCCTACCCGGGCATGAGCTTGGTCGTCGCGTTGGGAAGGCAAAAGCAGATTTTCTTCAATTGCAAAAAGTATAGAAGCACCCTGCACTCCCAACAGTCCGAAAAATCCAGATTTACAAAGCTCTCATCGAATCCAAGCTGATGTACAGTTTGAGCTGTTTGTGTATGTCTGCAGCTGAACGTCGCCGTCTAGATGGTTTCCAGAATCGATGCTTACGGCGTATTCTTCNNAACGCTGAAGTTCTTCGACGCGCCCGCTGTCATACTGCCACTGACATGCTCTTGCAACGACAACTCCTTTTTGGCAAAGCTTTACGATGTCCATTCGACCATGTAATGCACCAAACGGCTTTTATCCCTGGATCACTGCAGCCGGCAACCAGCAGGTTCGTTAGAAGGGTGGGCCGACTGAGACGGGAATGGGTCACAGAAATTCGGAATAAAGTTTTTGAAGTTTTGGACGGTCACCGTGAACTAGCCAGACTTGTACAAAACCCCCTCGTTTGGCGGCAAACGGTGTGCCGCGCCATACGTGTCCACGCGCCGCCTGGCATATGACTGACTGACTGACTGACTGACTGACTGACTGACTGACTGACTGACTGACTGACAGACTGGAAACTCTTGGAATGCAGCGGCAAATCTGCGTGCCCAGTTGTTTGGCCAAATACGATGCGTTGGAAGCAAGGCCACGTGTGGATCAAGTTCGGTGACTGGGAAGGTGCAGCAGTGAAACCGTGCGCAGACGAGCACCGTGTTGCGGGCTTCCTCCTCCATCTCATTGAAGCAAGGGTGTCTGTGCATTTGGTAGAACGTGAACAGCTAGGGGCGCTGGCAGCGGCATATTCGCATGCAAATGAATCTGAAGCTGGTCTGGGTGGCTGGTGGCTGCCAAGTGGATGCCAGCTAGACGTTGCGCAGATCAGGTGGTTTTCTTTCCGTGTCCGGCGTGCAGACCCTCCACATTGCTTCGCCCCTGGCGAGAAGGGGGCGCAGAAGCCGAGCTTGCAGGCGTTGTTCTGTGACAACTTTGGCGTGGTCGGAGCTGCCTCCGAAGGCCTTGCCATGAAAGAGCCCGTGGCCGCTGTTCTTCAGTCTGCAGCTGCCTATTGCATGCGGGAGAAGATCGATCTTCGTGTTTCCCATGTGGCGGGAATGCGAAACGAATGGGCTGACAAGCTGTGACGGGGGCCCGCAGCAACCCAGCCCTTTGGCAAAGCCTTTCAAAGGTGGCAGGGTGCGCAAGTGGCAGTCGACACGACCTTCGTCAGCCCTGTCTCAAGGGGGTCCGCGCGCGCGGGCGCTGACCGTGTCCCTGGCAAGGCCGCAGCGGACGCCGGGCGGCGGAAGCGCCAAACCACTTACCCAGAGCTTTTGGCGGCTCGTCGCTGCAGGCTGGTCATGTTGGCGCTTGAGGTGGGTGTCCGTTTTGTCGCCGAGTTGGCGGACTTCCTCCGCCGCATGGCTGCCTCAAAGGCGCGCGCAGCGCCGCCCCGCCTCCGGGCGGCAGCGCGGCAGGCAACCAGCCACCGTTGGGCGGGCATGTTGGCGGTGGCCGCGCAGCGGGCCTTGGCATGGTCTATCTTGGAACTGCCACTGGATATGGCGGATGAGTGCGATGGCACGGAACCGCCCCTGGCAGACGTGCTGGCGGGCGCGCGCCACACCTTCCATGTGCCGGCCAGCCGCCTGCCCGCCCGCTCATGAGGCGGCCACAGCCTGCGGCACAACGTTGGGGGCCTTGGAACCGACTGGACATACCATCGTGCAGGCGGAAAAGGCCGAGGAACAACAAAATGAAAAGGACCTGCGCAGAGCTTTGGATTGGCGGCATTTGTTCATTATGGGCCGGTCAGAGAACCTGAGTTCGGCCACCAAGCATCGGCCATAGAAACGACGTGTTTGACAGGCGCTGTGATCTTGGTCAGGCTTACCGATTATTACAGCGCTGAGATTGGGTGTGTTTTTTGTGCGTCCGACGGTGTTTGGCTGCGTCGTTGCGTTGGATGAGTCATTGCACGTGTGTCATTTGTGAAGATTGGTAGGCTCGTGCTGGGGTAGGTGGGCTAATGGCCAGCTTTTGCCACAAACCCTAGCCTTTACCCATGCTTGCTGTAGCTGAAGCTTGTTGCTCTTGTGAGTAGCTGAAGCTTGTTGCTCTTGTGAGTGCTGCTTGTGTGCTGCAAGCTTCCTTCTGTTTGCTTTGCACCCACCCGCCCGCCCTGTTTTCGCCGTACAGCTGGTGCTCATTCGGCGTGGCCATGGGCCTTGCAGGCAGCTGCGGTATGCAGCTTGTTGGATATGGTGCCTGAGTGCAGCTCCTTGCAGGATGATTCCTTGCACTTTTGTAATTTGTGAAGATTGCATTCAGACACCGTACTCTGTAAAGTTGCGTGCATCTAAGGGTTGCTGAATAACATGAAGTGCCAGGGCACCATGGTATTTGCTTCACATTCCGACACATGGTTGTAAGTCGTCGTGCCTTGCGGTTGGAGTACGAATTTTTCGGGCGCACGAAATGACGTGCGCTTGTACTTGCCACGGCGCCCATCTTCGTTTTTACATGTGATGCCATGCCTGCACAGTGCGGCGGCAGCAAACTCAGCCACAAAACGCCGGGGATCCGTGTCACTACGGGCCCACTTCGCAGTTTCAGCGGCGGGAAACCGTGCATCGGCAAAGCAGTGCATCGCAAATACAACCAAAGTCAACCCAGCCAGCTATTCCATTTTGGATCAGCAAGAATGAGCAAAGGGTACCATAAATGAGAAACAGTGTTTCAGCAATGTCCGAGATCACATGCGCTGATCAGCCAGCTTGCGAAGCCATTTCCATTGTTTGCGCTTTGGCAATCATAACGGTTTGTGTCCATGACAAATACGCATTAGCACCTATGGAAGGTCAAGCAGACAAAATGTCAGCCAAGGCTTCGGCCCAAAAAAATGGCAGCTCCCCACAGAAGGACGCAACACCAAACCACAGATGCAAACCAATTCACATGGTAATCGGATGATAAAGCAAATTTATGTTGAATTGACCAACCCCATGAGGTAGGCATTCTGGGAAATCATCTCGATGTCACGATCTTTGTTATTGCTGTCGCTTCTGGACCATCAACCCCCCTGGAATCTAAAGGGGTGAAGAAGTATGAAAAATCATGGAAAATGATGAAAACGATGAAAAATCATTAAAAATGATGCAACATGCTGAAGCAAATCAATTATGATGAAAACCATGAAACAAATGAAAACAGCTGACGAAAAATGATGAAACATGATGAAACATGATGAAACATGATGAAGCATGATGAAACATGATGAATGTTCTTATAACATGATGAAATTCAAATGAAGCATGGATGGCACTAGAAAAAGGCGGGGGTTTTGGTGAGAGCGCAGCCCCGCCCCACCTATTGACATGATGCTTGTGTTGCAGCAAGCTTGGATGGACTCATGAAAACAAGATGGGGGTTGGGATCTGGGAAAGTAATGCAAGGATTTAAACGATGACAATGGCAATAGGGCGAGGGGGTGCAAGGCAAGGTAATAATCTACACTGACACGACTTTCGAAAATGTGGCGTCACAAACGAAACGCAGACCTTCTATTACCACTCCTCCTACTACTACGACGACTACCATTACTAGTGCTACAGGTACTACTGCTACTACTATGACTACTATGACTAGTATTGCTACGATTACTACTATTACTATTATTATTACGAATACAAGCATTACTACTATTGCTAGTATTACTGATACCTCGACTATTATTATTACTACTATTATTGCTAATACAAGTACTACTATTATTATTACCACTACCACTTCCACTACTAGTATTGCTATTACGACATTAAGCCGAGCAGCCGGAAGCCCAGAAGCCAGGAAACCAAAAAACCAAGAAACCGACAAGCCAGAAAACCAGGAAACCAAAAACAACAAATATTCAAACAACATACGAACTTGCATGTTTTTGCATTGAAAACCACGATTGTCGAGCGTCATCCACGTTTCCAAGAGGCATTTGCACCAATTAAACTCCCCGGCACCTTCAGAGTTGTAACGTAGGTGCTGCATGAACGCATGCGTCGCGGGCATCAGGTTATTTGGGACCTTGCCCGAAGTTCATCCCTTGTTCTGGCCTTGGTTCATATTTATTTATGCCTCCAACCAGGCATGATTTCCGTTTGCGGTTGCTGGATTTTCGGTTGGCTCTTGCAGCGATGGTGGTGGATGACGGCAATGGTGACGCGTTTCGCATGCTGGCGCACGCAGGCTGCAGAATCTGCCCTCATCAGCCAGCTGCCAGTGGCCCAGGTTGTGGCCAGTTGGAGCACGGACCCACCGGCAGCAGGAAGAAGGCCCGACAAAAAAAACAGGCCGTCTTCTCCCAAATTAATGTTAAGCAGCAACCTGACCCAATTTGATCCAAATGTCCCATAGCTTCTTCAGCATGTTGTTCAGAATGAAATGCAGACAAGGGGGTGCTTTGAAAGCGGTGACCTTTGCTGACAACATGGCAGGGAAAAGCAGGATGGCACGTGAACAAGGTTATTCAAGCAGCATTTTCGAGCAGGACCGAAGGAAATGAGAGGACCCAAACGATTTTCATGCAGCAAGGACACTCCAGATGTTAATTTCAAACAGTGAATAATTGTGGAAACACACGACAATCTGAAAACCAGTTAGCTGTCATGTAAACAATTCACAACCTGGCGACAACCGATGTGTTTCTATCCATGGAATGTCGAAGACGTATGCGTCATAACAAACGGGGTCTGGTTGTTTCATTGGAGGCGCAAATGTTAATCCGCCGTAGGCCCAAGGTTGATGTTGACTGAAACTGGATAAGTGGAAATGGATTGGGAATTTGCAAAGCGCAAACATCAATTGGCTCCACAGCTTTCCGTCAAAGTTCTTAGTTTTCCTCTCTGGCTGGTGGAGCCCAACGCGCATGGCCTTTTTCCACTCCAAAGGGATATGTAATGATCCAAGTCTCTTACTAAGCTACGAAATGTATCGTCAGGCAAAGGGTCCCCCAAAGATCACTTTTCGCGCGTCCACGCCCTCCTTCCCTTCCTCCCTCCCTGGGTCTTGGGGTTCATCTTGCGATCCACGTGACGCTTCCCCGCCAGCAGTTTCCTGTTGCGTGGCCGTTTGGCAAGAGCCAGCATGCCAATTGACGCTACTTTGGATGCAGAATTACGTGTGCATGTTTTTTAAATTCGTTAAACAGCAGCTGTGTAATCTTAGCAAAGATACCACCGTTGACCATACAACCAAATTGGCATTGGAGACAAATAAACAGAGCTTTACTTTGAGAACCATGGTTGTAAGACACGATTGGTGTATGTCGGTGTCTACTGCCGCGAAGGCGCAGTTGACGGCACACGGCGTGATCGTGCATCATGGCTCCTTTTCCAATTTGCATGCGATACCATTATTGCCAATTTGGACGTTTGCCACGTTTTGGATGCCAGCTGTTTTTTGCAGGAATGCATGTTCTCATGACATGTCACCACAAGCACCAGTGCAGGTTGCGTTGAGTGGTCCAGCTGGCAGCCCGCAGTTTGCCAGCAACAAAACTTGCGCATATGAATATTGGATTTCATGTATGTGGTTGTGGCAGGTACAAGGGCGGCATCTTCAGGTTTCAGATATGGATTTGCTGGCTCGCTTGCTTGGTTGGCAGTTATTGAGAGTGAGCACTGCCTTGGCTGGCATTTCGTCCCAGGTTTCCGAACAATTATCCGAACAAACCGCCACGATTGAAGTGCTTGACGCCAGTGTGCGCTTAGTGCTGGCCATTACGGGGCTTCAACATTGTGTTGGACTTGAAAGGTATCACTGCAACATTGATGCCCGTGGGACTGTATGCCACGAACTTACTTTGCGAGAGCGGTTGATATTCTCCTTTCCATGTGCAGACTAGCACATGATGGTAGATTGCAAAAGGTTTGGATGTGGAGGACGACCTCTTGCGGTTGAAGCCATCCCGAGAAACAGAGGCATTGAATGGTGGTTGGCTGGAATTGAATCGGTCCTTGGTGGAAGTGCAAGCGCAGTTTCAGGTCCAAGAGCTGAGTTCAACAAGAATTTCGGCATTTTGCTTGGTGCAGGCACAGTGTGGACTAAAGGTTGGTGATGCTGAAAATTGCTGGGACATTAGCACCCTCGTGGCAGGCACTGCTGTCGCTGCGTGAAGCTTATGTTTGCACAGCTGGACAGATGGTTTGCAAAATCCTTCTGCCGCAATCCACCACCAACCAAAAAAGGCTTGCTGCACCAGTGCCCGAAGATGGCTTGGTAGCAGATGCAAGCAAATTGCCCCCAGCTTGGATGTGTACATGTCATGCGTGCCAGTGCCCAATCATCAGTTTGAATTTTGCACATGTGCGGGATGCAAGGTACGTGTCGGATAGACAAGAATACAACCGAAGAGCGCATGAGTGGACCATCAAGCATGCTTTCTAAATTCAGAAGGCAGCGATCAAAAAAGTGGCAGCAAAACAGCTAGATGCACGGGCGGTGCCAGCTTAGCATGGGTGGTGTTATCACTCTGGATGCTGCATTTTGCATCGTTCATGCTCCGGCAGGGTGTGCTTTGCATTTCAAGGATGTTGTCCAACATGCCTTGCAGTGTCAGCAGCCTTTTTGTTAAATCTAGTTGCGGTGTGAGTTTTATTTTTTTAATGATGTTGTCTGGTATGGGTGCATGATGTATCAGATGTGAGCCATCCTGACTCAAATTGCGTAATCATTCCTTGGGGAAAGACAAGCTGACCTATTGCCCTCTAAAGGCACGTAAGACTGGGAAGCCATGTCGGAATCAACGCAAGATGTGGAAGATTCGCATGCCATTTGGGAGGTAGATCCTTGTCTTCTCTTCCACCGTTGTTCATCATCTGATGGCTTTTGAGCGTGGCAGCTCATATCCCACAGATTTATGTATTTGCCCCACCGAATAAAGAGGAGAATGAGGAGAGATTGCCAGAGGTTAAGGTGAAGGGGGGGCAGCATGAGGAAATATGGTTGACAGTTTTGTTATCTTTTCGGAACCGGCTCTAACCAATTGGCTCTCATTGCTTAGGTTGGCGGTGGAGAATCGGGAGGGATCATTGTCAGACGTGGCCGTGATTTCGCGAGCACCATTCAAAGCGCCAGATTGGTGCAAGGTGCGATCGTACGAGAAATCTGCCTAATCAAGGAACGTGTGACGATCGCTTGAGCTTCAGCACCACTGTTGTTTTTAGGTTTTGCACGCTGCAAGCAGGCATTGTGTTGTGAGCAGAACGCTGCAGGCAATATGTCAAGATTTCTGGTGCGGGCCCTGAACATGGTTGGATCAGCCTGCAAGCAGCTGGAAAGCAGCTTCTGAAAAGGGTCAGAGACGCATGGTTGCAAGTCCAAACATGTCAGCTGGTTCTCTTTCAAAAAATGGTTTTCACGCAATTGGGTGAACATCTGCAAAAGTTTGTTTGTTGTGTCCTGCAGGGCAAGAACAAGCCCAGGATGTCCGCTTATCCGCTCTGCATGTTCGTGCGTTCGGCCTCTCGCTCTGCATGCTATTGCCAAAAATGGATTGCGGGTCCACATGCACCATCTCATGTCTACCTGCTGGTGTACTCAGCGTGAAGCAATCAGGCCTTCCAGCACAGATACTTTGCATTGGGGACTCGTTAACTGCCGGTGGATATCCTGACCTTCTGCAGCAACGGCTATCTGCCAGTGCAAGTTGGCTTGCTATGGTGTGACTTAGTCACAAGAGATGGTATCCGGGTTCGTGTTTGGCTATGTGTGTTTACACGAATGTAGGGACTTTTTTTGGGTTGCAAAATGGGCCAGAGGAAGGATTTCGGTGTCCGTGGTGCTTCAGTGCTGCCCATGGCTGGTGGACCGTGTGTTGCATATTCAAGTTTAGCTCGGATGGGATCGGAGCTGCAGCATAACCCACCTGATGTCATTTGCCTGCAATTGTACGTTTTCTTGGACCGCTTGTGTTTGCCCTGACGTGTCATGCCATCAGGCTATCATTGTGATGCTGGGCACGAACGACGCTCGGCTTGGCCATTGGAACGCGGAGGTGGGCTGTGAGGTGATGGCTTGCATGAGGCACCTACTGATGCTTGCTGGGAGGCGTTCAAAACTGAGTATTGCCTGCTGCTGCAAAGACTTATTGGACTGGAGCTCGAATCTGAAAGTGAGGGCAGCCGGCGGCTGGTTCTCATAGCTGTACCTCCCAGGCACCGCTTTATGAGTGTGTCTCCCCTTGCAGACAGCCGACGTCGGCAACCACTCGTCTGTGTTTACATATCAAGCCACGGCGGCGTCAACTCTTCGCCCCGTGAGTTTGCGCAGATTTGCAAGGGATCGATTCCAATGAAGATCCATGGCCTGCTTGGGCTAGCTACCATCGCTGCAAGAAGGCATCACGCCCAAGAATGTCAGGTTTGGAGCGGTAGCTGACAGCACGGCATTTTATTTCAACAAGCAGCCTCAAGCCCACATCGCACTCTAACAGACCGAGTTAGCCAACTCAACAGATGAGAGATGGAGTTCAGCCTCTTCTATGACAGGGTCATGCCAAATTCTTGGGGAATTGACGTCGGCATTGCGGAGAAGGAGTTGGGCCTAGCACCCCCCCCAGGTGCAGGTATTGTATTTTGTTTCCTTGGTGAGTTCTTTGCCTGGGTCATTTGTTTCCGCTAGCTGTTGAAAAGACAGTTGAGGCAGTGGCAGAAGTGGCTCAGAAGATGAGGATGCCTCGACCTGAGCACGCAGTCAGCATTTGTCAAACCTGGCGGCCTCCTTGAAGCAAATTTGCTGAAGGCCCCTGCTCAACTTGCGGGAAGCCCTTGAGCCAGCAGAAGGTTTTGTTGCTGACGGGGTTCACCTGAACCAGGCCAGGGTGGATGCAGGGACAAAGTCAGCTGCACTTACTGAGCAAATTGCATCTGGAATATTTGAGGCTGGTTCAGCCCTGGTCGCGGAGTTAGCTACACATGCCCTTCTCGAGCAGCAGGGGGCCACCCTGCGTCCAAAAAGTTGCAGTGTGCGTAATGTGCATCCCAGCGGCAGGTGCTGGCATATAAATACAACTGTCGGCAAGCAAACTCCAGATTAAGTTGATGAAGCAGCCTTTTCAAGGTTCAAGCATGGATGATCACACAGACATTAAGAAGTTCACATCTGAACACATATCGAGGCATTGCGTCACTAGTTGCTTTCAAACCTAGTGGTAATTTGCATGCCAGCAAGATGGCAAGCACATTTCAGCGATTTGAACTTCTTCGCCGAAAGCAGATCACGCCGACTGACGCTTGATGCCATTGGGGTCTCTAGTTGCTAGAGTGATAGAGTGACTAGTGACTGTCGCACATTCGCAGAGATGCTGCTTGGCAGATGTTCTGCGACAGGCATGCCTGCTGCGTTTTGCGGCTCCAGGCGGCATGCCCTTGGGAGGCTACGGGCGGACGGCTCCTACAGGTCATGGGGCCGCACGGTTCTTCCTACTAGCACGTTGTACTGGGTACCGTGAAAGGTGTCAAGGTGAAGCTCCCGGATTCCAGCCTGGAGAAGTCTTATTCACCGGTATCGCATCCTGCTCAGGCATTTTGCGTCTTAACATTTTGAGGTTTTGCTTGTCGGCAAAGAGCAGCTGCTGAGCATGCAGGTTGGCTTCTTCGATCTGCTTGTCCGTGCATATCCCCCGCGAGAAGGAGGAGGGCTTGGTGCACATCTATGTGGTCTGAAGACGGGACAGAGTGCCCTCATGAGCCTCGTCTGCTGCAAATGTTTTAATTGTCTTTGGCTTGCATGCTGTGCAACACGTGCAAGCAACTTGTGCCAGAGGAAAGTCAAGCCAGTACCCTGGCGGCAACGTCAGCACAGTTGTTGTGGTTGTGGCATTTTATGACTAGGGGCCTGGCTTCAACTGCTCAGGAGAGCTTTAGTCACTTGGCTGGAGCTCCGCTGCGGCCCGGCCGCTGGGACTGGTTGGGCCTGGTGGCTGCTGGCACCGGCCTGGCGCCACTTCTCCAAGTGGTCCTTACCCCAGACACTCGCAGCCTTCCCTTGTAACGTCCAAAACAAACAGAGTGCCGAAGGCAGTGGAGGTCTTATCCTGGAAAGATAGTACCCGATGCTTGGGGTGCGTTCAGACGGTGGCAACACACGTGCAGGGTGCCTCGTTGCTTGCTTCGTGCTGTGCCCATCCAAGGACTCTCTCTAGTTCTCGCTTGCCGCAGCGAAGACGAAATTCTCATGCGTGAGGCAAGGTTTTGGCAGCATGTGAAGCAGACTCGGCCTGCTACATTAAGGACTTGGAGAAGCTCGCTCAACATCCATCAATGGACGTCTCCGTTCAGCTTAGCAGACCGGGCCCTGGCTGGTGCGAACCCCATGTCCTTCCTGAGATGTCAGAGCAGGACTGAGAATGGTCGGCTGCGCAGGCCCCCGGAGTGCAGCGGACGCCTCTCCAAAGCGGTGCTGGAACGACACCTGCCCTCACCACATACTTGCTGCAGGCTCAGCTTCTGTGTAGCAGCGGCTCAAGTCAAATTGCTGAGGCAGAATCTCGTAGATCTCTGCTGTAGCGTTTGGGTTCAAGGTTTTGGCTTGATAGCTGAACAGTCCATGGCCGGACGAGACTCCTGGCTGACTCTGCCTTAGCCGGGGCACAGCCAGCTGCTGAGCAACAACATGTTGTCATTCAGTGCCGCCAAGTGGCGAAACACAACTCATGCCAGATGCAGCAGCTGTGACAGCAACAGCAGTGGCCGGAGAGGCATGTGGGGTTGGCGGTGCCAGCGGCCAAGTCGCGTTCTCGAGAAACCCTGCAGAAGAGAGGGCAAATATTGCTTCTCTTCTCAAACAAAGGAGATATGTGAGCCTGAGTACTGTGGAGAGGGCAATCTTTCCTATGTTGCAGAAGTGGCACACACAGCCTGCAATGGCGACGCATCTGCTCACGCGCCTTCGCCAAGCCAGACGCGCCCTCACTGCTTGGCAAGTTCTTCAAGTGATGCGTTGCAACGCTGTGGAGACCAATGTGATACACTATAGCAGTGTCATCATAGCATGCGAGAATCAAGGCGCCTGGCAACTGGCATTGGATTTGCTAAGTTCCATGGATTCATCGCGAATCAAACATGATGTGATCAGCATGAGTTCTGCGATCAGCGCTTGCGAAAAAGCGTCCTGGCAGAAGTTCCGCAATAGGAATGCTGCAGTGGCAATGTTTGATGCATTTGACATGCACTGCCCTCCATAGTTGTGGGGGGTGGCAGCAAATCTGCCTCAACTAAGGTTGGGCGCTGGGAAGGGGCTCTTGCACTGCTGGCGAGCATGAGGATGCGCCGTGTTTGCCCGAACGTTGTGAGCTACAGTGCAGCGGTTTCAGCATGTGAGAAGAAGGGGGAGTGGCAACACGCGATGCAGCTGCTGGAGACAATGCGAGAACACGAAGTCTGGCCGAACGATACCTGGGCTCTTCGATGAAGTTCCTCTTTGGGTTCGTTGTCTTTTTGGCTTTTGATTTTGTTCTTTCACTTTTTCGGTACCTGTAAGATCTTGTCAGGATATCACATGCAACAGCGCCATCAGCTCGTGCGAGCTTTGTGGGCAGTGGTTGGTGGCTGTGAACTTGCTGGAATCGATGTCCGCGTGGAACATTTTGCCAGATGTGATCTCATTCAACAGTGCCCTGAGCTCTTGTGAATGGACGGGATTCTGGCAGATGGCACTAAGCTTGGTAGCTCGAATGCAGCAAGAGCACCTGGCTCCAAATATACGCACCTGCAACAGCGTGATTCACACATTTCAAACAGATAGCCAGTGGCAACGGGCGAGCAGCTTTCTCAGCTTTATGAAGGCCAAGGTGGTAGTCCCTGACGTGACCACATGCAGCAGAGCCATTGAGTCTTGTGAGAGAGGCAAGAAGTGGCAGCTTGTTGCGGGCTTGGTGTGTTCCCTGCAGGAGTTCAACATGGAAAAGATGCTAAAGTCGTTGTACACAGACCATTCTCGATACCTTAGCAGACATGCCGTTGTCAGCCAACCGCCAAGAAAAACGCCTGAAACGTTGGTTTGCAGCCGGCAGATGGCTTGAAGGCATCCACGCAGAAGATTGTTCACTAACGTTTGGAATTGTTCGCGGTTGTGCTCAGGTTGCCAAATTCTCGTATGTGGTACAGATGGCTTTGTGGACAGCATCGCGGGTCCCATTGAGCGTACCAAGCTACCCGACGGAGGAAAGAGGCTCGGATCTGTGAATCGACGTGGACAGAAGCAGCAAGAAGCTAGTAGCAGCAGGAGTAGTCGTAGTCGTCATCGTCTTGGTGGTCGCCATCATCGTTGCCACCGTAGTCGTCGCCGTTGTTGTTGTAGCAGACGGCAGTGGTCGTCAGTGTCATCGTAATGGTGGGAGTAGTTGTCATCGTGGTGGCAGTCGTAGGATGTCGTAGGTGCGGTCGTGTAGCTCTAGCAGTAGCAGTAGTATGTTGTGGTACTCGTAGTAGTGGTAGCAGTGGTAGTAGTGGTAGTAGTGGTGGTGGTGGTGGTGGTGGTGGTGGTGGTGGTGGTGTTGGTGTTGGTGGTGGTAGTTTCGGTGGTGGCGGTGGTGGTCGCCATCGTAGTAGTAGCAGTAGTAGTAGCAGCAGTAGTAGCAGCAGCAGTAGTAGTAGTGGTGGCGGTGATGATGTAGACGTACTGTAGGAGGTGAGACCATCACCAATACCGACAGCAGCACTAAAAACGACGGCAATTTGTTGGTTGGAATCGGCAATGGCAGTCCCTGCTTGTACTGGGTCAGGAAGATGCAGGGCAAGCTGGGCGGTTTGCTTGCGGAGTGCGGGCCTGTCAAATGCACACCATTTAGAATCATACGACCGAACACGTCCAGACTTTAACTTCACGACTCAGGTTGGGATACTCTTCATCCCAAGTACACAAGTTCTGATCAGCCTGCGTGGTGCGAAAGCGGACGCCATTTTGTGATGCATTTTCAACAATCCCCCACGCAGACACACAGTTGACGAGCTGGGCCAGCTTTTATGCTCAAGGCATGGGATGCAGCCATGGAGAGCAAGTAACAGCCCCACATTACCTCCAGCTGCACAGAATCATGGTCGTGAGTCTCTTAGCAAAGCTCCTGCTTCTACCTTCCTCTACAGTTGTCAAGCTTAGACTGAAGCAGTGCGGATTGTTGGGCTTTGTGCTGTCCATTGCAAGATCGAGCTGAGTCAAGGCATGCACTCCACCTCCAGTCTTAAAGATCCAGCAGCTTCGACTTCCAATAAACACGCTATAGCACGAAGTGATGTTGATAACGATGCCATGCTGGAGCGAGCATCGTTGAACGCGTCTTTCTTAGCTCATGGGTGGACATGCTTTGTCAAGATTTGTTGTCGGCAAGTTGTATGTCAAGCCAGGACATGGAGGCTGCTATGTGTGGGCTGGTCTGGCCACCACAGGACACGGCAAGCAAGGGTGGTTCTTTCTTGTGCTTGATTCCATGTTCTCCGGGACAGGGTGCAACTGAGGCTCGAGAAACCTTCTGACCATGATCAGAGGAGCTTTTCGAGCCATAGAGCATGGCCGTGCGTGCTTTTTGAGCCATGCTTCCCTGCTGCGGAGTCGCAGATGGAACGCAGGAACCAGAACTCAGAAGCAAGGTCTTTGCATTCTACCATGCCAACTTTCACCCCCATGGCTGCCGTTTTGTGCATGTTTGCACATGCAGCACAAGGTTTCCGGTGTTGGGTTTGTTTTCAGGCTGGCTGAGAGGGAGGATATTGCAGAGCGCAGACAACTCTGGACAAGTGTTGGTTAGATTCGCAGGCCCCTTCTATGATCCAATGATGGGCCCTTCAGAGACGCTGGACATTCCAGTCCCAAGAGCTTTGGTCAGATCAGCTAGCTCGGAGTCGGAGGATGTCCAGCACACGGAGGTTGCGAACGGGCATCTGTGGGAGAGAAGAAATCCTGAGCCTCAGATTCGTCGCCCACTATTGTCCATACTACTCATTCGTTGGTGGGACTATAGGGTCAATGCCACATGGTCTGATTTCGCAGTCACAAATGACGGCATGTTGCGAGATCTTGTGGATGGTGACTTTGGAGTATATTCCACACTGGCAGGAGAGTTTGAGATGTATTGTGTGTTCGTGAAGCAATCGAAAGATTTGGAGATAGTGTCCGAGAACTGGGCACAAGCAGTGTTAGGAGGCATGAACCAAGTGGTTTGGTATTTCCTGTGGCCATGTTCACGTTCAGATGCTGACAGCATCTCTGGATGCGTCAATGAACAGACATTTTTCGACATGCAGCAGCGCATGGAGAGGGCCGGCTTACGCAGCGGTTGGCCGCATCCTTTGACCTTGTACCGGCAGCTTGCCGGAAAGACATGGATCCCGCAAATGAGTTTGAATCGAGCCTACTGTGTCCCTCCCACTGCACGCGTTCATCATGCTAATGTGCGTCGCGATTCTATAGCGGCGGCGAAGCAAGCGATCGATGATTTGCTCTGGCTTCGCGGGAACGTGTGGGGGAGCACCTCTACAATGTCAGCCTGCGACTTCAGAGGGGTTGCTAAACTGGGCTTTAGCTGGCAGGGCGACGACGTAATAGCTTTTTCAGGTGCCGAGAGTCTGGCCCGAGTGCTATGCAGGCTGCTCGAACAGCCTGGCAGCCAACAGTCGAGCTGTCTTGCCGCTTGATTCCTTTGCATTATTTTGCTACTTTGCCGAGTTTTTCTTGATAAGGGACTCGCGTTTGCTCATGCTTATTGACCTGTCACGCTGTCAATGTAGTACGTGGTTGGCTGCTTTTGATTTGCTTAAGTTTGGTATGAAGAGTCAAAGTGCAGGGACGAATGCTTTTTCGGTGTATGGGTGTTCGTTGAGGTTTTGCTAGCCATATGGATCTTAGATAACAGGAGATAGCAGCAATATGCTGGGCATGATCACGGCCTTGACGACGACTAGGCAACACGATCCGCTTCGGAGAGCATACTACTACTAGTATTATTATCACTACTACTATTATTACTATTGCCTTCATGAAGACCACATGGCCCAACTTGCTGCTCATCCTAACTGACCTTTGGTGCCTCTTTGGTCTCTACAGGAGGGTCCGATTACAGCAGCTAGTTTCCAAGCTGGTGTAAGATTGTAATAGCAATAATAGTAATAGTATTTATAGCATTAGGAATTACCGTAATAGTGAGAAGAGTAATACTAGTAATACTAGAAGTAATAATGGTCATAGTGATAGTAGTAATATGCCCTCCTCACCAGATACCGAGGTGCAGGAGCTTCTCAGTGACGTCGTTTGTGAGCATCGAGTCCTATGTTTTCATGATGCACGCCGGGGAATGTGGGCTTTCAGTCGCGAGCACCTTTGGATGACCATGAAGAACCCGGGAGCCCACCACAATCATCAGGCTCGCCCTTCTTAAGCATGTTGCAGCTCTTCGGTGAGTTTTTTTCTCCGAAAATCCAGGAGGTCCTTGAGGTGAAGGACTTCCGCTTGACATCTGCGACTGTCTTGTCCCGAGACCAGGCCAGGGCGCTTGCTTCATGTGCCGTAACCACTGCTCGCATTCTTCACTGGTTGAGGCTGCTGCTCAAATTTTCCAAGGCAACCTCGATGTAGTGAAGTTGATAGAACGAAAAGCTGCAGCTTGGCCGCAGAGAAAGTCAGAGCTTTTCCCCTCCCTACCCTCCAGCCGACTCCAGCCCAGGAAGCTTTGGTGGATAGATGGCTGGCATGGTTCCGGAGTGAGACCACTGACCTGGCGGCCTGGGATGGAAGTGTCAGCAACTTGACTGCGTGTCTTCAAGAGCACCACAAGCCCGAACAGCAGAGAGATGGCAAAACCAAAATCCTCTTGAAAGCAAGAAACATGCAGAGTTTAGCCGGCTGAGGTGTGGACATGTGAAGTCTGCGAGTGCGGAGCTTCCCTCTGCTCAGTGGAGTGTGATGCACGAAACTGTGCCACCCTGAATTGGGCCATGGCTGATGACCCGACAGATCGCTTTCCGCTAGCTTTGCCTCAAATTCGTCGCACCTTAGCAAGCATTTGTCTTGAAGTGTTGCCACATGATATATGCATGCATGCCGACCGCAACCTGAATGGTGCCCGAGGAAACAGCGGATGGAAGTCGTAGGCCGTACTGGCTTTGTGTGAAGAACCAGACGCGCTGCATGGAAAATGTCTGCTCTCAGCCACAGTTGTGATTAGCATCGCAGGGATACAGATATTGGCTGGCAGGACACTGTTAGGCTCCTCGGCTTTCTCCAGGTCCGCGGGCTGCAATGATCCTACCCAAGTAATGCAATCTTGTGACATGCAGGCCAGGGAACTGGGAAGGCTTCTTCCCGTTCGCACCTGAACTGGTTCAGCCTTGCCGTGGCGGCTGCCCTCGCAGCTGCGCAAAAAACTGCAATTTCAGCTGAGGCCAGCTCGTCATGCAGAAAGCGATATGAGGCTCATCGTGTCAAAGCTGATCTACACTTATCTTAAAATTCACTTGCTTCAGGAGCCGGCCAGGGCCTTGCGGCAGGATGAGGCTGATCCAAAATGCGGTGCCCTTGAGGCCCGGCTGCTTTGAGGATGGCTTTTTCATTTGGCACTGTAAAGCGGTGTGGATTCAGTCTGCTCAAGGCCTGGGAGATGCGGGAGGCCAGTCCTGTCAGGGTCTGTCCAGAAAATGGGCTTGTTGTTTGATCTCATTTGATGTTGTGGCAAGAGTCAGGCGCTTCAGGACCTCGAAGGCCTGCTCGCAGAAACCCACGAGGCGAATGCTGCACTTGCGTTGGAGTAGCAAAGAGCCCCTACACTACATGCCGCTAAAGTTCTAGCAGCCGGTATGAAGTTCTTATGTAGAACCTTCGATATGTCTCGAGCATCAGCAGCGGCCCATGGAACGACTCCAAGCATTACAAGTCTTTTCGCATGCAGTGTTACGCTCGTGACCGGAACGCACTGGCTGCAGAAAGCATGCCGCTGCCAATTGAGAGCCTGTGCTCCAGTCTATGGAACAACGACCCCTGCTTGACAAGAAGCTTTGCGGTAAAGCGTTAGGAGGAGGGAGTAATCAGTGGAGACCCGAAAGAGGTGGAGGCCGAAGTGTTTGGGAGAAGCGGGAGGTCTTACAAGTTGCTGGAAGGCTCTTTGGGATAGACATGAGGTCTGTTACGGGTTTTGTTGCGTCGCAAGTCCTGTTGGGCGCTCCCATCCAGTTCTTGGGACAAAAGGCAGCAAGGCAACAAGGAAGTGCCGGGGAATGCCCATGGAGAAAGGAAAAATGATCATTTTTAAGGTATGCTAGTGTCGTTCTTATGTCGGACTGGAAGGCAGGCATTTTGGAGCTGCAGCGGTGTGGCATTTGTTTTTCCAGCGAGTCCAACCAGGCCTTCAGAGAAGCGCCGTGTCAAGAAGGGCTCGGGCCTAATCTCGCCATTTGGCAAGTGCCTCGTTTGACAGTTTTCACCAGAAATGCACAGGTGGGACTGCGCATGGAAGGCCCCGAGATGGAAAGATGCCGCAAGCTGGTTGCCTGTTGAGAAGCGATCGAGGAGCTGGCGTCACTGGAGGCTACGCTGCAAACAGAGATGCTGTGCGCTCAGAAAGCCAGCACAGGACGGCTGCTTAAACAACGCTGAGGAGTCACGAGCCTGTGACTAGGGGAGGCAGCTGAACTTCAGCCAGCCTTTGCCATACACTTAGTGTTAGGCTAGACTACTATATTTTTGTAAAAGACCGGCACGTTGTTCATCACGAACCACAGCTTGGCAAAGCAGGTTGCTGCGAGTAAGAGCTCTTCTTGTTCCCGCCACTTCTTCAAACCCAGCATAAGCATCCCCTGAGCAGCTGTGTGAACGACCCACACCGACAGTGTCTAGAATCGTGTGGAGTTCAGCATGAAAAAGAACAAAGTCAGCAGTTCTCGTTGTCATGTCAGACTGCCCGAGCAGCTGGCAGTTCTTGTTATTCCTGTCATGCATGCTGGTGCATCTGTCCTGTTTGCTGTCGCTGCCAGCGGCCACTTCAATGCCTTCATGAGGCGGTATGTCTACGGTCCTGACTGGGAGGCAGAGTTGCCAACATCTGAAGCTACACACCGGACTTCTGGTTGACCATGCCAGATCAAACCGGGGAAATTGGTCTCGAGGAAGGGCACCTGGCTCAAATTGTGGCCCGGCTACGATTAATGTGGCTGCATGCATCACCTGAAATTCACCTTCTGCAAGGACAGCGCAATTCTCGTGGGAACTGAGGGAGGTGGCGCCCGGATGCGCCCGGGTCAGTTCATAGAGCAAGCAAGTAGCAGCCCGTGAATCAGGGCGGCGCGCGTTCCGAGAAACTCTACTTGCCCGCTGGGGAGTCTTGTCAAAATTGGAACTGACTTGGATGCACACGTGAGAGCATACTGCCTCAGGTGGCAGTACCAGTCCTTCAGATTGGAAGAGCCGCAAGCCTAGAATGCCACAGTGAGTCGGGAGTTGCCAGGTTGAAGTGCACCCAAAGAGATGTTGAAAGGTGGTCGACCCCGAGGAGCTGAAGCTGCATGACTGGGCAAGCGCCGAAGACATGTTCAATGATCATTGCTTCCAACTGGCTTGCCCTAGACGGTGGCAATCCCAGGTTTGCCAACACTTGCGCGTTTGGATGAAGCCTGAGATCGTCAAGACCATTGAGGTGGGAACATGAGGTAAGGCAGCACAAGCGCAGCCAGCAGCTCTTTCGAATAGTTTGACCGCAGTTGTTCACACAGTGACTTCTAGCAAATGCAGACTTGGGGTGAAGGCTAGATGTGGCGCCTGGTTCGTGTATTGGCCTCATTTTGAGGTGCAACTGTTCAGCCGTGCAGTCTCTATGCAAGCAGGCTGTTTCATGCTTTGGCTTGCGCAGCTATTTAGACTCACAAGCAGGAACAAGAACCACAGGCCAAAACATTTCCAGGCCGCGCTATCACGGAGTGTCGTAGCAACGGAGACATCACAGCATTTCTTGAAGCCTGTAAAGCATACATGCCGTCAGATGAGGGGCTGAATTCGGAGACTTGGCCTCCGACCGTTTGCTTGTATGCTACAAGTATGTGAAGATGTTGAAGGCTTGCTTGCTTCTGCCACCCAAGGACAATATTCTGGCTAAGACAGAGGACACGGATGAATGCCCTACTGCACCGCAAAATGCTACCCAAAATGTGCCGCGGATGCAAATGTTCTTTTGGTAGCAGCTACGGTTGACTGACTGGAGCACTCGCCATTTGCCCAGGCATTGAAAGCGTGTTCCATGCCATCTGACATTAAGAATGCTCCAGATGCGGAGATCTTCAACGCCTCCTCTGAAGGTGAGATGTAAACTTGAATCCTCTGTACCCCATGGAAACATTTATGCATGTGACCTGTCACTACCAATTTTACTGACGGTGCTGTTGGGAAGGAGCAATTGCACAGAATGCTGGCACCCCAGCAAGTGGCTGGAAGAGTTTTGTCAGGCCATTGGCAAATTGCACCTGGGCAAGCTATATCAACTAGAACAGCAGATGCGGGCTTCTTGGGTGAGATTCTTGTTTTTAACTGGCTGAGGCATTGCCTGCGGCGATGTAGAGTCTGAGATCAGTTATTTGAAAAAGAACCTCGTGTCTACCAAATCTGTTCTGGTCCCATGGCAGCAACCTACTTGGCTTCTCGAATGTGGTTCATCTTTTGCTGGTACATTTGCATGTGGAGGATGCGTGCGAACGGAGCCTCCGCGAGAGAGAGGTGTATGCAAAGCTGGTTGAGACAAAGCTTGAACGGTTGCGGCCCCAGCGTGCAACTAAGTAGGCTCATGTGCCACGAGTGCCCTTGGTGCTGTACACACGTGCGAGCAAGGTCAACACATGAGCTGAGCTCTGTGAAAGTCGAGTTGGAGACCGAAAGGAGGAGGACATGTACGGTAGGTTCGTGCTGCCAGTATGTGAAACTTTACTAAATTTTGACGTCCTGTTGCTGAGGCAGTCGCAACCTGCAGTTAGGGAAGGTGTAGTGTGTTGAGTGCGTCCAATTTTTGAGAGGACTTCCAGTCTGTCGTCCATGTTGCTGTCCGATTCAGTTAGCCAGCAGAAGCTGCAGGAGCAGGTGCATATCACTGCATTAGTGCTAGGTGTCAGCATGGAAGCTTGCAAGGATCCTGTACCACTGCTTTTAGCCGGGCAATGCTCAGGTGCAGGGCAGCGAGCAGCAGTTGATTGAGAAGCAGGAAGAGCTTCAGAGCTTGTCCCGCAGCTTGCAGGACGAAAATCTTGAGCGTCAGAAGCTGTCAGAGGCGCTGGAAGCAAAGACCACAGAAGCAGAGGCTTCCGCGGAGCAATTGACAAAAGCGATGCAGGAGCTGCAACGCCGCTCTCTGGAGCTTGAGGATCTCAGGCGCAGCCTTGAGAGCTCGAAGGAGAAATCCACGCTCTTGCACGGAGAGTTGCAGGAACACAGCCAGGAGAACACAAATCTGAAGCAGCGACTCCAGCAGAGGGAATTCGACTTGGAGAAGTGCGAATCGCAGGTGCAAGAAGTCTCAAGTGAGCTCAGCCAGACAAGCCGCAAGCTGAATGAGACGGAGAGTGAGCGCGAGATGATTGAGAGGAAGCTAGCTTCCTCAAGGGCACAGCTTGACCAAAACGAGGAAAGGTTAACCTTGCTCTCAGCCTCGCTTGAAGCTGCTCAGCGAGAAACAGCATCGCGGTCCAAGCGGCTGGAGATGACCTCCATGGCGGCAGAGGATTTCATGGGCCATTTGGCCATCTCCAAAGCACGCGTTCGACACCTTGAGGAGCAAAGTCGTCTAAGTGCAGCCCTGCTTGAAAGCAAGCGCCATGAGCATCAAGAGTTGGTGAAGAAGGCAGAGGCACAGGCGGAGGCACATGAAGAGAAGCTTGTCTCACTGGCATCTTGCCTGGACCACGAGCAGTCTGAACGCGCAAGCTTGCGCGAGGAGCTACAGAACCGCGACCGTAGGATTGAAGACCTGACTGCCAGCGCGAGCTCAACAAGTGCACAGGTGGAATCTCTGCTGGAAGAGAAAGGCTCCCTGGCGAAGACGCTGAAGGCACGTGAAGAAGAGAACGAAGACCTGAGGTCGCAGATCCTCACAGTGAACCAGCAGGTCACCGACTATGAGCGTCAGGTCTCAGACTACGAAGGTCAGGTGAAGGAGCTGTCTGCAAAACTCTCAGAGACCCAGCTCGAGAACACACGGCTGGCTGAAGGCTTAGAGCAGAGGGCCATGGAGGCGGAAGAATTCATGGGAAAAATCAAAGAAGAGAGGATGCAACTTACAGAGTTTGAGGACACAATCCGCTCCGTGCGTGCATCCTTGCAGACGAGCCTGACAGACAAGGATGCCTTGACGATTGAACTGGAGAGAACGTGCATGGAGCGTGAAGACCTCACGCAGCAGCTCCTTCGTGCCCAAGAGAAGCTTGTGCAGCTGGAGGAAGAGGTCGGCAACGCTTTCTTGAAAGCAGCCGAGGATTCCAAGCAAGTCCGGGAGACCTCTGCCCAGGCCTGCATTTTGAGAGGATGCCGTTTGAGATTTGGCAGAGAGTCGAGCTCAGGCGAGCAGTCTTGAATTTGAATTGAAGCCCAGTGACAGGAGATATGCCAGTGGCAGACCACTGCAGAGATGGCCTACCAGCAAACAACAGAAATAGCCCGCCAGCTGGACAACTGGCGCTCTCAATACGGTCCCTGTTCAGCACTTCCCAAGAGTGTGCTTGTGCGTCTGCAATCGAAACCCTTTCGAAAAGCCATGAGCATTGCCTGGCGGAGGTAGCCTTCTGAAGGCGTTGCGGGACAAGCAAGCCGCAGCTTGGACAGCAAGACTCCCATGGTTGTTTGTGCCTGTTCGTGTGAACCATGGACCGGCAAGAAGACACAAGTCACTTATGCCTACCGACTGCAGCATGTTGCACAGGTCATCGAGAGGCTGAACTCCGAGTTGGATGAGGCAAAGAAGCGCTTAAGCGAGGTGGCCATGGTCGCATCTTGTCAGCAGTCTGAAGGATGCTGGAATGTCTGAGTTCTACCACCCTACCAGTTTGGTAGCGCAAGCTGTCTATCCAACATCTTGGCATCGTCCATTCACCCAAGGATGATTCCGAAATGGCAGCTTTGATGCTGTGCTTCAACTCTCTTCATGCACAGTTTCTGTTACAAGTTGCAAGAGATATCTGAGATGCCAAGAAGAGATTCCAATGATTCCTCTTTGATATTGCCGGAAAAATCCTGAACATGCGACCCAGGAAGGAGCAACTGATGCATGCAAATGCCAGACTAAATGCATTGTCTGCTACAATTGACCTCAAAGATACGGATCCTTGGCTGATCTTGGGTGCCTTCCGTTTGTTGTTTGCCGGTCTCACGACTGCATGAAGGAAATGCAAGTGGTCTCTCGAGAGCTTGTGCGGAAGGGCATGCAGGCAGAGGATTATCTGGGCCAGGTGAAGAACATGAAGGACGGGCTGTTCAGCTTTGGATTGCTCTGAAGCTCTGCGCCACGCCTAGCTGCTTCCAGGATCGTCTGGTGCGGTCAGAGACCCTTTTTCTGCATATTCTGCATGAAGCGTGACGGTGGCTTGCATGCCGCATGTGTTCACGCCGGGGCTTCGAAAGCAAGTCAAGACCATGCACTCAGGATTGACATTAGCCGCTTCTCCTCAGAACTCACGGTCGCGAAGTTGGAGAAGGATACTTTGGCGCAGCAACTGGAGCACAGCGGCAGCCATGCCAAAGAGCTGTTTGGAGAAATGCAAAGCATGACACTTGATTGCATTCAGACTGTGGTGTCTGTTCATGCTGCGTGTGTACTTGGGAGCGCCACCATACCGAATTTCGAGCGCTCAGGAAAACACAGCTTCAGACATGCCGGCAGGACCAGTGCATAGACGCCCTTGTCAAGAAGAGATTAGAGTGTGAGGCATGCCTGTCAGTAAAGGAAACATCGATCCTTGATAGATGCAATGGCCTCAGTTGGCGAGTGATTCTGCTCAGGAGTTTTAGGATTTCAAGTGTTATAATATGGACCTATAATATGGACCCCAAAACATTATAATCCGGTTCTTTGGGACCCCCAATAAGGTACACCTAATTGTAGAGAACCCCCACATGCAGGATTAAGTCCAAATTCTGTTTCCTGCGAGTGCTGTCAGCCTTGTGTTTGTTTGTCGGGTTAGCGTGTTGACAAGATCACCATTTCAAATCTCCATGTTGTTGCTAGCCTGGATGCACAAGGAATGTGCTCTACCATCCAGTAAAGCAGAAATTGCAATTCCTTTGCCCACCCTTCAAGCTGTAACCTTTTCTGCTTTCTAGCTGAAGGTTTAGCGAAGCACGACGAGTTGGATTTGCTTGTTCCGTTTATCAAGTCTGATTTGCTTGGTGACTGGGATTAGCTGATGTTCCGGATGCTGAATGCGTCGGTGATGTTTTGAGCCGAAGTTGTGCTTTTCATCACTGCAGCATCCAGTTCCTAGCCGCAGCCAGACATAAAACACGTACTCATCAAGTCCTGCTGAAGCTTGAAAATACGAAGACAAGCATCCCATTTTTCAGCCTCAATGTGGCTTGATTTGAGGTCTCGAAGACAGGCAGCTGCTTGGTGGAGTTGGCATTAATATCTCGGGCGCCGGGGTTTGCAGAATTGGCCAGGCGCTGAGCAACAGCCAAGTTGCATCCCCAGTTTCATGAGGCTTCAGAATGATATGCTGACCCGGGAGATCTCAACCAAGGAGATTTCTGCTCGGTTTTGTGCATTGCACATTTTGGGGGGCTCTGGCTGAGCGAGGATTCTGAGATCGAGGATCTTCGCTGCCAGTTAACCTCCTTTCGTATGCAGCGTCAAGATAGCGAGAGGCAGGGCAGATCCGCAAAGATGGCAAAACCCAAATTGACAGCTTATCTCTGACTTCGAAAATGCTGATGTACGTAGTATAGCCGGTCATCGAAACTGCCCACTGCAAACGTATGAAGTTTCTTGCATGGGCAATGCTTGGCGGTCTCTTGCGTCTTGTCAGGGAGGCCGCGGACTCTCTGGAGGTGGGAGCCATGTTTTCAGTACGTCTGGTGCAAGGACAGGTCAATGCGGTGCATGCGGAGCCCACGCCTGTATACATGGCCTTGCCTGGAGGTGCTGAGATCGACTTTGCAAGAGCAGCTGCATCAAAATGAGCTGCTCTCCGCTGAGCTGACGAAGAAGCGTTTCGAATGCCAGGCCTGGAGAGGGAGGCATGCGAAAGCCCAAGGCGCCACGCCGAATCCGTAATTCAGGCAGCCTCAGCCGAGAGCCAAAGTCTGTCGCAAGCTCAGACGCATGACCCTTCAAACTCAGTTATTTCGTGGGTCTCTGCTTGGGCCTCAAGTCTTGCAGATGGGCCTCCTGTTGTCCTGAGGGCCACATCACTGAGGCGTGAGGAGCTTTCGACGGCATTGGAGTCCCAAAGCGATGCAAGTGGACAGCTCGAGGGCCTACGAAACCTGGCAAAACAGCTCAAGGCCCGGTTCGGGGTTCGGATTGATGTTCATGTCTTGGCGTCTTGGCGTGGTGCATGTGTAGTTACATGCGCACGTACTGAATGTATATGTATATGTATATGTATATGTATATGATCCCCTCAGGTACTACAGGGTCTGGAATCCACGGACCCCCCGTCCAGCAAGCCCAGGGTCTACAATCAGGGGCTTTTTGATATTAGACCTTTTTCCTCTGTTGGGATTCTAGACCCTCTAACTTGTGCTCCTAAGATTTGGCCACGAATTCTTCGCGTTCTAACCAAGGGGATCCCGCAACATGTTTTTGCAGAAAAATCACCCTAAAGTGAGGGCAAAACAAAATGAAATGTCTTTGCATACTGAGGATGCTTTTCAAATAGCAGTTTATCGCGTTGAGGCTCTTGGGTGTATTTGTGCGCGGCCTCCCTCAAATTTGTTTCTTTCATGCTACAGCGCGCAAGCGTGCACCACAAAAAGATGCCTTACAATAATAATCATGAGATCCTACCCGTGTTATGCAGCGCTTGGGCATCTCACTTTCATGCTGTTGCTCACAGGTGTCCC